CAATCTCCACACAAGGGAAACAACGAGCGAGATATTTATATGAGATAGCAAAGCAACTGCCAAAGGGTTCTGTAGATCGTCACATGCGATGCATGGCCAGAGACACACAAACGGCGGGGGTAGAGGCAGAGTAGTATGCATTGGGACTCCACAGTATAAAAACCCAGCAATCAACAGCTGCCGCCACAGCATATTGTTCACACAGGAATTCCCAAAATAAAAGTCAACGCAGTGTCGGAGTTTCGGGGAGATATGCACATAAAAAGGCATTTAACGCACTTCTGAGCTTCCGATGTTTCAACTGACCGCTTTGGCTGCACCTGCACAATAATGGATTTTTGTGTATTGTACTAAGCCCGGATGCGAGAGTCCCCCAAGTAGTATTCACGCAGTTAACATTGCGAGGAGAATGAAATTAATTTGCACTGTGAGTACTTTTCTGCTTCCTGGGACTTCAGAAATACGCGGCTGCATCTCGGGCCTCCTCCATCCCTGATGTCAAGTGCGAAGAACGCCAAGTAGACCCCAGGGTACCCATCACAAGTATCATGCAGACGGTTTTGTGAATGCTGTTTGCGTAAATACTTTTGCGTTTAGTTAGGAGAGTAGACTCATACGCGCGCTGGTGTTCATAAATAGTGGCACACATACTGACGCGTAAATACAAGCATACGCTGTTCCCTCCCTTTGCATTTAATCACGTTCACGAGCGTTCATGAGGTGCACAGATAACTACGGAGAGCGACATCCACCACTTTGTCGGTATGCTGTTTTCTGACAGGTGGTTGAGGGGCCCCTGAAGGCTTTGATGCGTCTGCGGGAGGCCCGCCGCCTGCGAAATGAATTCTTTGAGGTGTAGGGGTGCCCCGTAAGTGACAACTACACCCTGCAGCCCAAACATCTGTCCTCATTTAGCGGAGAACGCAGCGCGGAGACCAGCCTTTTGTGAAACTCATTCGGCCTAGGAAGGACACCGAGCTAGCGTTGCTGGTTTTCTTGAAGTGTATCCCAGTATACAATAGCGTCAGCAGGCAAGTGCGCTTATTAACAAGCAACNGCTGGTTTTCTTGAAGTGTATCCCAGTATACAATAGCGTCAGCAGGCAAGTGCGCTTATTAACAAGCAACTTGCACATCAATCGGAGAGGGTAAAACTATCGGTGCAGTCCTTTTCTTTTTTCCGTTTTTCGGCACAGATAAGTGCACAATTCTGGTTCGTATACTTTTCATCTAGTTTTCCCGGTGTTTTCCTTATCGGTGCGCATCCGGAGTTCCTCATGTCATCACTGTCTGTATGTCGGAAAGTGATCCTCTCTATCATTTTGTGATCCTCTCTATCATATTCCTTCATTCAGTACTTTAAAAAGAGCTGTTCGTTTCAGTCTGTTCATCAGCCACAGCACGATTCCAAAGAAGCGCCCAACGGCATGAGCTTGTGGACTGCTTCCTTTGGAAGCACCATACGATGGTTTCAGAACGAACTCAGCGTCAAATAAAAAGTGCATTTGTCTTGGAAGCAAGTGTTCAAATACAACTGAAACACTGAAAGTTAATACATGGAGCATCATGTTAAAATGAAACGCTCAGATGCAACACCGTTCCAGAATTGCGTAGACCCCTTCAAACAGATAAAGCGCATAACGTCTACAATGAATGCAAAAAGTCTAGCGACCCACGCCATGCCTGCCGTGCACATCCTCTGCCGTGTTAGGTAGTAGGGTATGCGCAGCAACACCCTGAGCTAAAGGTCTGATTGCGCCGGCTCGCCCCAGGCAATAGTATTCTTGAACAGTACCACATGCAGCCTCACAGCGGCGAAAGCCTTGACGTAGAACCGTTCATAGCAGGTTTCTCCAATGGGCTGCAGCACGCCTAGCTGCCTTTAAAGTTGTTGCTACCGCCTTGACTGTTGTTGCTGTTGTTGCCGCTGCTGCTGCTGCTGCTGGCTTTGCTGCTGCTGCATCGTCGAGGGCCCAAGCACTGCCGTCTCTCGTTAACCGTAACGCATATCCTTGCATTGTAGGAGGCCACTAAAACAACAGAGTCGAATCGTTTTCTACTCCGCAACTCCTTCGTAGGAGTCGTTTCCCCTTCAAAGCCACCAGCGGGGCAAAAACGCTCATCTGCACTGCCGTGGTCACCAAAGCTGCTGAGAGCATCATCTAGCGCATAGCTTCTTATCTCCGCAGGTGCCTATCTAGTCAATTCTACAAAGGCGTTGGACGTCGATCCACACTAAAACACACTGCTACGTGGGCTACGTGCCTAATCTGGGAAATGGTTGTCTTTGGCGGTAATCTGCCTGAGCAGGACTTGATGTAGGGTCCTCGCCCATTGTTCGCATTCCTTTTCTTCCTCTGAATCTGCATTAGGGTCCCTGAAGTGCTGCAGATCAATACGTTGACTCATGCAAGGCATCAGGTTGAGAGGCACCAGGCGCTGCAGTTGTCGCTGGTGCAAGTCGTCCCCCCATTCAGGTGAGTGCGCATTGCTGTACCGAGCCTGTAGCTCCTGCAAAAGTAGTAAGTCATCTTCCACCCTTGCCAGGGCTTCCCTGCCGCAATAGCACAATAGCGCGAGCATTCAAAGTCAGAAGCATAATGTACCAATATATATGGGTCTGCATCTAAATATATCCACGTTTTCCTAGATTCATATGTACGAGAACTTGGATTTAATTCTCATCGGCAAGGGGAAAGCCAAACGTTAATCGCAGACAATGAAATCTAGGCTAACCGCAGCAAGACAAACCCTGTGGTGTGATTGCTGTATCTGCGCCCTCCCGGTCATTAGGCAAAGTTTAAGGCAGCAGAGCATGTCTAAGGATATGCCAGGCCCTCACTTAATGCGAGAACACCGTCGAATGGCGTTCCCTGAAACTGCAGGTCCGTAACCTCTCAGGCTGGCCCGACAAAGGAGAGACCCCAGGTGACCCCTCACCTCCTCAAGCTCCCTCTCTGCAGATACAGCGGGGGTAGATGACCATTGGATGGANTACGCCCATAAATATGTTTAAACGAGTAAACTAAAAATACGTAACTTTGTGTTGAAATTCAGATGCTTACACAGATGCATCCTTTCAGACAGACGGATAGAGATAGACATAGCAATAAGGGTATCCGCACACAAAAATACTACCGGTAACACTTGAGCACAGTGCATCCCAGAATTTAGAGAAAGTGTCACTTCTATTTCCTGCCTCCAATATCTTAAGCCCGTCTAAAGAATGATTGAAAACGCTTCCAGTCGCTTTCTTCACTCAGTTTGCCACTAAGTCCGCTCACCTGCTGCGACGAACATTCGGCGGGAGAAAAAGACTCTTGACCTTATATATCTGTCCTTAATATCTAGCTTTCGTGTGCTGAGGCATGTGGGGGGTGCAGCAGCTCCTGTAGGTCCGAGCGCATGCTGCTGCTTAGAGCCTCGCAACAGCTGCATGGCTTCCCAAGTGTGGGCAACACAGCCTCCAACCAGTCCGTATTGTTGCAACATTTGCACAGCGCCTTGCAGTGTCCGGACAGCTAGAGATGCGCAGCCTTCGTCCCAGTAACGTATCGACAGGTTGTAGATGCTGGCAAGACGATGAGGGCAAAACGTTTGCCCAGCCGTTTGCCGGTGTTGCGCCTGAAAGGAACCTGGCAAGCCGCTGCTAAGGTGCACCTGCTGCACCTGCCTCAAGTCACAGTCAAGATGCCGTTGCTGCTGATGCATCGCTACCCGCTGCATGCGCTCTGCCCAGCGCCATTCATTGTGCGCCTCTGTTAACTGCTGCTGCTGCTCTCTCCGAGCAGCCACCAGCTCCTGATGGCGTTGTTGCGGGCTCCTCGGCTGCTGCAGCTGCTGCTGCTGCTGCTGCCGGTGCAGTCCACTCGAAGCAGCGCAGTTTCCGTTTCTTTTACCGTACGCTCCTGAAGGAGGCCGCGTAAATGCTCTATGTGGCTTCTCTACACGGTCACGGGGTATCTAAGAACAGAAAATTTCATCAGCACAAACCTGCAGCTCTGACTGGAAAGATAGTATATATTTCTTCAAATCTTGCGCTTTCCTCTTTGTTCGTGTTACCTCTGCTACTTGGGGAGAATACGGAGCGCTCCACGAGTCCTAGTGATGCATAGACCACACAAGGGAGAAGTACGTCCCAACGTAGAAAGCCCCTTAAGGCACAGACCAGCACACCCTGCATAGATACTCCTACAAGCCTTAGACCATCGTTTGTAAAGCCCAAGACCTAGCCATAGTTCTTTAAGTTGGAGGTTTCTGGATGTGTCTTTTGTTGGTGCCAACTGCACAGATATTACACACCTCTGCTTTTGCGGGCGGAGGAGCCGAGGGGGCGTCACTGACTGCTGGGTGGGGACAGCAGCTACCGCCATCGAGGTGACAAAGGAACTCTTCGTTTATGCCTGAGCCTTTAACCGTCGCTGCAGAGTTCAACGCATCAGCAACAGCCGAACCGCAGGTACATCACATTACTGCGAGGGCTTAGCACGAGGAAGGAAAAGCAGCAGCAGCAGCAGCAACAAGCCTCACAATATGATCCCTGGTACACGAATGAGCCCGCATCTGCTTCTTGCGCGTCACTGACGGAAGAAGCCGACATTGTCGACTATGGTTTTCGAGGTTCCGCACAAGGGCCAACTAGAGACGTTCTCCGTAGTTTCCCGGGTTGCTCTGGTGGTAATGACTCTCAACTATGCAGTAGCAGCTAAATCCCAAACCTTAAACCGCTGCGTGATGAGCAATTAACCCTGAGCGTTCGACGCCACAGGTTCGTAATTGCCCGTTAGCCCTTATACGCTAAGCCTTAAACCACAAGGTCGGTGGGTAAAGAAGAGGCAATACGTGGAGTTTAATTGACTGAGAAGATCTTTGGAAGGAAACTAGGCTCCAGTTGTAGGTCTCGACGCGTGCAAGAGCAGCTTTCAATGTGCAGTGAAGATCTACAACCTTCGAGGGAAAAGCGGCGTGTGCCCCATACGGCGTTCGTATGGTGTGTTTATAGGTAGCGTTAATGACAAGCAGCTTCCATTTTCTTAGGTCATAAAGTATTTCAGATATCCGTGAGGTCTGCCTTCACGGAATGGTTCAGAGCCACTCGCCGCAACATCGCCAGGCGCAGCCCAATGCAAAAAGCCGTCACTGGAGTGTCAACGCCCCTTCCCTTTGTGATTTAACGTGACCTAACATGCTCTCTCGCCTGTTTCTGTGGCATAAAATATGTGATAAATGCGTGCAGTGTAGAGTTGACTGATTTGGACGGGGACGCACCCCGACGGGAATTCCGACGGGGATGAGTGGAGGAGGCAACAGAGGAAACTAGCGTGCAATCCAGATATATCCCAAGGAGAGAATGGATATAGAAACCAGCTAAATATGTTATTTTCCCCGTTAAGTGGTGAGAAAACGACATGATCTAGTTGCACTGACCATTGTGTGCCTTGCCTTTGATTCCGTGTCGGGGTCACCTCCGCACACGTTATTTCACAACGAGCAATGATGAATATTTCTTGTGCCGAGAGGAGGCCTAAAGAAATTTCTATTCTCATACAGTCTTCAGTTGTCTTCTTTAGCATATCTAACTCTCCCACGGCATAGCCAACTACTTTTACTCTTCGCAAAGAAACGAGACTAGCTCTGACTTCGCGGTATAGTCGGTTCGCCATGGCCGCCTGTGTGCAGTAGACAGGTCTGAGAAGAAAACAACCCAAATGCGTACTTCATATTCACGAGGGTTCATGATTTAGACAATTTCCTCTAACCAAAATAAATGAACGAACGCTACGCGGTGAGCACTTCGCGGGGCGAGCATAAAAATTAAGGCAATTAAAAACCTGCGCTAGGTCAAGTGTGGAGTGTAAACTAGTTGCATGGAGAGGCTTTTTCATAGGCAACGCATGGGATGGACTCCTGTCTTCCCCCTTGCATAACCAGGTGATCTATGATGGGGCTCACGACCCTATACCTGTTGTGGCCCTGCGCAGCTATAGCCAGCCAAGGCATACTCATTGGTACCATCAGAACAGAGAAATGCTAGGACGCCTAGTGGAAATAGTGTTCCAAAGACTAGCTGCAGTCCTCGTTTCACGCCTGCAACGTTTGCCGATGTTGAAGTTCCTAGACTCATGATGTTCATGTTTCATGCACGCATGTTACAAGAAACCATCATTCTGGAAGTGCCATCGTTGCCTGTAGCGGCTTCCCTTGCAGGCATCGCACACCAAAACGCATCTCTTAGACGGACGGAAGGTGTTCGCGCCAGGCCGTTGCATTTACCCGGCTACTAACGTACTCTTCACATTACAGTCGATCACAGAGTTACACGAGCCTTAATAATCCTCTAAACGCAGCGATGCTCCTACGTCATCATGAAGCACTGGTATGATTCCAATTCACTTGCTTGTGGCTTAGGGAGTTGGTTGCATAATCTCTGAAGAGCAGTCGTGTCGCCATTTGCTAACGCTTCCACTGTCTGGCAGTCCTTCTGTCCTTCTTTTGGTTTATTGACTAGACTTTGCAAGCCGAATGGTCCGCCAGAAAAGGATGGCCAGTGTGAGTGCCGCCGAATTCGTGCCATTACCTAAACCTCTACATACAGATATCCACTAGAGGCGACAGCGGAGTAACCAGTTGCTCGGCTACACCGCGGTGGCGCTTAGTGGATGTCCATATCTCTCCTTTATGTCAACAGATTTAATTTAAAGCTCTTTTGCTTTGCAGTTGATGTTTTCTGTCCCGACGACTCTGCGGGCAACAGGGACCCCCGCAACGTAGAGACAGTGAAGCATGAGGCAGCAACTGCGGTCCAGGGGATAACGTAGCCCCAGATAAACCGCTTGGTGGACGCATTACAGGCGCGTGCACTGATCTAGAGGCGAGGTATGGCTCGAGAAGCTTTCGCGAAATACTCAGGCGCGCACCTTGGGCTAGACGACACCAGCCGTCTTGCCTTTCTTCATATGAGCAGGATCCGCGGGCTCACCTAGCCTCTGCGGAGTTCCCTGTACGAACTATCTCACTCCACATATTGATTTGAGCCCTTCTGCGCTTTACGTGAAATTCTACGGGTGTACAAATTGTCTGTTTTCTGCTATCGGGAGCTTCGTTCAACGTGCGATGCCGTTAATTCCCAGGATATTTTCTTCTCGTTATAAAAACCTGGATATATGCAGCTACATGTAGACAAGTCATACCTGTCGATGCAATGCTCAGAAGGGAGATACAGGGTGGCGTTTCTATGATGTTATGCAGCTCACTGGTGCCCGAAAGGTAGAATACCTGCAAGTGTTTGCTGGTTCGTGTAATGGGTTGGACGTAATGATGTTTCTAAGAAAGGTATTTATTGATAAAACGTTCCTGTTACAGCTTAATAGTCTGTTATTTAACTTTGGTGGGACCTATAAGTTACAGAAGCACGGAAGATGTAGGCCGCGGTTGTTACCGGTCGCGCAGCAGCCGAGAGCTGGTTAGGTGTACACTCCGCACTTCAGCTTGTAATTGCTGTTATCTCATCTCGTTCACCTGCAGGTTTTCGGTATTTTGTTTGTAGCTGCACTGGGCTCGTATGTTTTATTGTAGTAGCGCGGAGTTGAATGCAGGCCCGCCGTACAGAAGGCAATGCAGTCACTATTGTAGAGGAGCGTGATAATCCAAGCATGCCTACAAAAGGCCCATATCAAAGACCTACATCTTTATTTCATTTTCTGCCTAGAGAAGCTGCCATGTATATAGAGGGGCAAAGAGTGTGCTTAGCCAAAGTAAACTAGTACAGTACGGTTGTTGAAATACATACCTACAGAATATGCCTAACTATCCGCCGACTCCCGAAGTGTAGACGAACGCCATATGTACACTTGATTTGTTTAATTCTGCCACGTTTCTTATATCCCTTCTATATTATAGGGCGCTGGGGTGGGGTGGGGCCCAATGCCTCGCCCGTGGGCCAAGGGTGCCAGGGTCACCTCTCCATCAGCGTGGTTTATGTGCAGCTGTCGAGCGTACTAGTACATGCCTCTAAAAACCTCCTTTCCTTTGAGTGCCTTTGGGGCTTTCTTCTCGTTCGAAAAATAAAAAAACCGTCTTCGTTGTGCTACAGCGGGAGAGGCGGGTGGGCCGGACCTCTCGAAGGAGCTGGTAGCAGGCCTCACACTGGTAATGTGCAGCTGACCCATTTGTGGTTCTCCGCCCAGCGTATCGAAGCCTAAGGAGCCCATACCAACCTCCCTAACCACAGATAGGAGCACATCACTCTGTAAGGGCCCCTTCACCCGTTGCCGGCTCGCCAGGCCCTTCAGGCCTGCAGCTTCTTTACCCTCGTTGCGCTTGTTTTGCCTCACTTCACTCCAGTTCTAAAGGTCAGCCCTTCTGAGAAATGGGCACAGCTGCTGCCTTACTGAGCAAGTGCACAGGAGCTACTCCTGAAGCCTCACAACCCAAGGGCTGCAGCCTCAGCACAATCCGTTGGAATTTGCATTGCACAGCTCCCCAAGTGGGTTTTTCCCGGTTGCTGTGTGAACCGTTCTGCCATACACCTTCTAGGCCATAGGCCCTGCAGGCTAAACACACATCAGGGTCCCCCACGGCAACAATTCTGCGTGAGAACCTGGAAGTTAGGGGAGGAAAGGCGGAGGGGACCCGTCGCAGGAATGCAAGCAGACGACACTAGAGGAAACACTTGAGGCTACGACCCATCCTCCTGTCAAACCCATGGTACGGCTGCTGATACATTTGCTGCATACGCGACAGCAGCAAGCTTCTGGGACGTAGAAACCACGGGCGCTTCAAGCAGTGCACTGAGAGGCATAACGCAATGGGGAACCCACAGCCGCAGCAGCAACAACAGTTGCAGCAGCAACAACAAGAGCAGAGACAAGGACTGCTAACGCCAACACAAGAGGAGGTCGACCCGCCGCAACGCCTCCAAAGCCCTAGAAGCAATCCTATGGGGCCCCCTGGCGGAGATACCACGGCACAGGTGGAGGGCTCTCGGGGCCTTCCTGCAGACCCTCCTGCTCAATGCCAACTTAATGCTGGAGCATTGGCCCTCTTTGCTCCTTCTATCCGCACACCGCCACCCCGGCGGCATTCCGCCAACTTGAAAGGGGACTGGAGGGGCCCTCCCCCTCCTGAGCTGTCTGGACATACCCCGTCAACGTCATCGAGGACCAGGCATGCAGGGGATCGCCGAAGTAAAGGCCCCCCACTAATGTCTGAACAGCCAAATCAGCTCGCAGACACAGCAACCCAGTCTTTTCACCAGGGCGCTTCCCGCAAGGCCACTAGGGGACCGCAAGGTGAACCTACTCGCCTGCTGCAGCAGCAGCGAGAGCGCAACCAAGTGCAAACGCATCGGCATGAGGGACAGGCAGTGGACCGTCTTCACACAGGCAGTACGACCTCTATAGGGGAAAGGGGAGCTTCTGGAAACCCCAGCACATCTGTGCCCTCGATTGTCACCTCACCGCCAGACAGTTTTGTCGGGACTCCAGCACCATCTGTACCCCAGCTGCCAGACCAAGCCTCCCCGCCCGCTACAGCTGTTGAGCAACTGCAGCAACCGTCCAACGCAAACCTTGGCGAGGTTGCTGCAGCTGCGCCTCATCACTGTGGTGCATTTAGAGAGGCAGAAACAGAGCTTCTCTCGAACCCCTTGCCGAGGCCCTCTGAAGATAAGCGCCAGGGACAGCAGCAGCAGAAAGGTCCGCGGGGCCCGTCTGGAAGGACCCGCAGGGGCAGGAAGAGAAGGGAATGTGGCGCTGGGAGAGAGCTGTCGGGTCGAAGGCCTGCTTCAGGAGACCCCGTCGGGCCATCTGAACCCATAAGTCAAACTGCATTCACTATCCTGGGGCCTGGTGATGATGAATGTTGTGGTGGCCTGTCGTACTGCGGAGTCCCTCCTAAGCCACTCCATGCAGCGCACATCCTCGAGCTCTCACCGCTGCTGCTGGCTAAAGTGCTGCAGCTGCTACCGGTGGGATCAGCAGCAGCATTCGGTTCCACCTGTTGGAGAGCTCGCCGTGTGCTTCTATCTTACTCATGCATTGTATCTCTTTCGGCGCGAAACGTCTCATCTCTTCTGTCGTTGCCTCCGGCTGCACTGAAAAGGCAACTTCCATTCCTCTCAGGTCTTAAAAGTCTCGAAATAGAGCTCACTTCAGCGGTCTCTCCACCATTATTTCTAGGTGCTGCTGCAGCAGCGGCAGCTGCTGCCGCTGCTGCCGCAGCAGGAAGTCTGCTCAGACCTACAGATGCTGGATACGAACAAGCGGGAATGAATAGCAACACCTGGAATGAGCAAGCCCACACTCCTAGAGGGACGCGGGCGGAGAGAAGACAGCAGCAGCAGCGCGCCGCTAGTAGCAGCCGACAGCAACAGGCAGGTCAACAGGAAGGAGGGAACGAAGCCCAGAGGGACGCAACCGGTGCAAGGCTTGCTGCAATGCCTGCACTATCTCGTCTGTCGTGGGCATACGGTCTCGTGCAAGGAAGGGCGCTTGAGCTCCTGCGCGTACAGCCGGCCTTCTGTGGAGCAGCATCTGCTGCTGGGGAGGCGCAGCCTGCAGCTGGACAGCCGTCTCCACCGTCACCCTGGACAACCTACACTGCAGCAAACGCGTCACCGCTGCTCAGCTCGCTGTGTCACCTGAAATCCCTCTCCGCGAAGCTCAAGCTTTCACCCACCGGGACCCAGGGGGACGCTCAAGCCTCTACTGAGTTGCTGCTCCTCTTGCAGATGCTGCTGCACAGGAACGCCCACTCTCTTGTTTCAGTAAAAATCGCAGTCGACCTCTCAGCTTCCTCAGTGCGTCTACCATAGCTGGCCGTAGTGTAGAGCAGAGATGCAATACAAGTAGTGCTCCTTGAGCGTAGCCGCCGACGATTCTCGGGCTTCTGCTGCATCACGTCCCTCAGTAGCACATCTCTTGAGAGTGCAGAGTGCTAGGCAGCTGGGCAGCAAGGGAGGCCTCAAGCGCCTAGTGGTATGTTGTAGAGCTCACTGCTTAAAGTCTATTCTTTACGGAGTATGGGTATGCAGCCCACTTGGCGCCACGTCCCCCCCTTGTTGCTCCCGCCTTCTCTGCCCCTTCTAAAGTCTCTGTATATAGACTTTCCTTTCCAAGTAAGGCAACAGCGAAGTGGTGCCCTGGTATCTCCCTCTGTTCTACCATGGGAGAGACTCAGTTCGGGATATCACACGCAGCTGCATGCATATCCCTGCGTAATAACAAATTATGGACCTCCGTGGGAATAGGCGGCTGCCCATATCAGCGTTTCCTTGACCCCTGGTGCCACTGCACTTCCGGTTTCTCTGCAGGTGACGTCAAACCTGTCGATTTCTCTCGGATTCTCAACCCTTTCTATCCACTCTGCCCAGAGGCTGATGCTAATGAAAACGGGTACACTTTGGCGGGAGCCTACCAGTCCTGAAGGATCTGTATGTCCTTGTTGCTCAAGAAAGCCGTCTGGAGACAGCGAGCCTGCAGAGTCTTCTGTGGCTGACAGTGCCCACTACGGTGCCTCAAGCGAGAATAGCTGTGCACTTCTCGAGGTCGAAGAGGCAACGCTTGAGCGCCTCAAGGAACAGCTCGGGAAGCCAGCCCCAGCTGCTCAAGCTGGAGGTATGGGGGGAGGCAATGATGCTTCAGCAACAAGAAACACTGGGAACCCACATTGTGTCCAACCTGAAGTTGTCGCGTTTCTACTTCTGAGCGATAATAGCGTGGCAGCTTTTCACTCTGACGGGTGTCTCTGCATAATTCGCGGCAAGGAAAAGCCCGCAACAGGCCCGTCAAGAATTTTCTGTGGAAGTGAGCAGGCACCAGTCAACCTTGCGAGCTCAGGGTCAAACGTGCCACGCTGTGCTCGATTGCATTTCGATACCAATGCCATTTGTTCTCATGAGACTTTTTTTCACATCATATTTACTAGTGACTTCGCATTTTCTACGCCTGTATACGACAGCGCAGCTGTATATTGGCATCCGATAACCCGCGGCTGCTACCCAGCCTTAATCTGTGCAATGTACGTGTCTCAGAAGTGTGCCGAATGCAGCTTTAGTTCATGTGCGTTTGCTGTAATAGGTGGCGGCCCACTGCCGCTGACAGGCCAGGCGGTCGCCCTTCTAAGGAGAAGGGCCATCCTCTTGAGTGAGCTGTCGGCCGTGGCCGGAAATCCCTTCCTCTACAGGATGAACTCTAGTGCTGTAAATATACCTCACGGTGATTCTGCCCCTAACGCGCCTCTTGCCCAGCTGAACTTCACATCTACGGAACAGCAGCAGCTGCTGCAGCAGCAGCAACCGTCGCAAGCTCAACAGCCGCAGAGAACCCCAGAATCACTTCCGATCGTTCCAGCTGCCCGTGGTTCAAGGCATACACACAACATCAGCGGGCAGGAGCAAAATCCGCAACACGAGAAGGCGACACAGGAGCTGTTAGTCCGAGCCCTGCAGCATCTCCTTGAAGTTGGAGCAGAAAGTCTGCAGCTCTTAGACGTCGACGGAGAAGTTCGCCACTTCTCAGTGTTGCATGAACAACTCAATTTTAAATGGTAAGAGTGAAACTCGAACACGCAGTGACGAGAAAGTGAAGATTACCTAAATGGTAGAGCAACCCGCCAGTTGCAGCATACAGCAAGTTTTTTTCTATGCAGTACATCCAAGGGCTTAAGGATGTCTTCTCCGGCACATATGACCCTTACACTTGCCCAGATTGCAGCTTGTATCTGCCTTCAGCCTGCGTCGGCTATCCCTTGGGTGGACGATTACACCAGAGCTGCAGCAGCTTCTATTTTTATTCAGCAGCAAGAAGCTGCGGTCTTTGCAAAAGCTGAACTTCAATGGTCCCGCCCAAATCCATCCGGAAGCATATATACACATTAACCGTTTCAGCAGCCCCACCAGCAGCAGCAGCTGCAATGCCTGGGGCGAGCCATGTGCGGCTCCTCTTGATGAAGCAACTCTAAGGCGTAGTGCAGGGCTCAATAACTATGGGCTGGGCCAAATTCATCTCCAGCTCTACGCTCTTCTCAACTGCGGAGCATGCAGCGTCTCACAAATAGACTACGCACGCCAGCAGTTGCTTCAGCAACAGTTGCAGATGCTAGGCAACTACAAAAAGAACAGAAGCATCGTGAAAGATATCAAAAGTCAAAGCGATCCGCTGTGCCTCGAGATGGAGTATGAAACTCTGAGTAAGGCAGGACGATCTGTTGCCGCGTGTTGTGTTCGCCATTTGGGTTGGTGTGGCAGTACGAGCTCTTGCTTGCTACTTTATTACTGCCATGAATATATGAGCTGGCCCTGCTTGTGAAAGGTCCAGCTGAATCCAACTTGCTTCTCCTCCTTTTGACTGCAGCAGCACCGACTGACGGGTCGAAAGAAGAGGAAACTTCCACAGATCGAAGCCAGGTGAACAATCAGCATAGGCCTCAGGGATCACACAGCCAGTTACAAAATTGTGGGCACAGTTTCTTTCCATTTTATCTGGGCACGCACATGCATCTATAGGATGCAAGCGCTCATTTGCAGCCAGGAACTGCAGCGGGAGAATCTAGCTTGCCAGCCAGCAGCTATGCGCAGAAGCGTCTCCAAGGAGAGCTGCTGTGAAAACACACAGCAGGAGCAACCTGCTTTTCCATGGGGTATACACCTAAAGCAAACCCCTCGATTTGTTCCCCTTCTCTGCATCAGGACCTAGAAAATGAGAGCTTCTTGAGCTCAGAGATGTCGCCTCAGGCGAGCTGCAAGGAACGCCAAGGAACGCAAAAGCAGCCCGTAGACTCCTGCAGCAGCGTCACTGCGGAGTTCAATCGGATGTTGCTTCAGGAAGACTCAACGGGGCTGAACAAGCCTGAAACAACAAGCGGGAGCTCTTGCCGTCATCGAGTTCAACAAGTGGGGCTTCTTTAGGTTTTAGTCTGTATTCGGTAGCGTTTACGATTTAGGGTTGCCGGATCTTCCAGCAGTTTGTTAATGCAACATTCTAACCGGTTTCCTCAGAGGGAATAGAAGCATCGAATCAGTGACTTGGTTTCTGCTAGAAATCCCTAGGCGCGGTGTTTCCTTTGGTCACGGTTGAAAGTGTGGCAATTTTGTTTCGCTGTGAATTGGTGGATGAGTGCAGGCAGGGTCCTGGCTGTGGCGTGCCATTCCGTCCTCCTTGCGTGGTCTAGCGGGATCTCGAGGATGCTTCAGCGAGGCCGCTCCTTCATCGCCTCAAGCAGAGGTTCCAGATGCTACTCAAAGTGGGGAGAGAGTAGAAGCACAGCTTTCCTCACAGTGTGGGCGACCAGGAGACAGTGCCTCCTCTCCTGCTGGCCAGAAATACCCTCTTGAAAACCCCTCCCATGGCGCTGTGACGGGCGTAATTCATCAGCAAGACGAGCACGGCCTTCCCTCCCGCAGACGGAGACCCTCGGCAACCGCAGAAGGAAACCGAGATTCCGCTGGCACAGAAAGAACAGCAGCAATAGTTCCATCTGGGGGCCCCCGCCCAAAGAGGCGGCGGCTTGTGGAGGTGCCACTGGGTGGGCCAAGAGGCGCAGCCAAAACAAAGGTCGACGCTCTTAGGAGGCACCTTGCTGCGTTTGCTCGAGAGCATCTGCCGCTGCTAGGTGACCTCGTGTGCCCACATCTGGAGGCTCTTGGTTCTCCCACAGGGGCCTCTAAACAGCCTCAGGATAAAACAACCCCCCCTTTAGAGTACATCTCGAAGGGTTCATCCGAAACGCAGTTGAGCGTAAGACGCGCAGAGCTGCAGGTTTTGAAAGGCGTTACCTCCTTCTTGTTGGATGCGGCGGGAGAATACCTCGGGCCTTTGCTGGGGGAGCCTGAGAGCAGCATCGGCACCAACAGCAGTGATAGCAACGACAACAGCAAGGACGCCAGCAAAGGCAACAATGTTTCCCTTGAGCGAGCCTCTGCCCGTCCATGCCCGTTGCCTGGTCGTTGCTTCAATCAGGCATCCAGAAGTTCCACTTCTGGTGCTGTGGCGGCAACGCACCCTACCCACCCACTACAGCCGTTGATTCGCGAATTCCAGCGGCAGCAAGAGGAAGACGATGAACTGTCTTTGTTACGTCTGCTACAACATTCTCCTTCTCCCCGCACCAGCTGGTCCCACGGTGTTTTCTTCAAGTATGCCTATGTTGACCTTGACTTCGAGTGTCTTGCCACATTTCGCATCTGCCTTTGTCATCACCCTCTATTCATCTTTTACAAAGAGCACGAGAAAGGGCTGCATGTGCTGCACGTTGACGGTGAGTCAAGAGCTGTTTGGGGCATGCGTGCTCCAAAGCTCATTCGTAGGGATTTCTAGCAATGACTTCGCATGTAGTTACTTCAATGAATTTCCGCCGTTCCACTGTTGAGTTCAAATTGTTCGATCTTCGGGTAGCTCCTCAGGAACGTGAAAAACGTTTCCGTCGCAGCAGCTGCTGCACTTACCAGTTTCCGCCTGGCTCTTGACGTTCGTGCCGGTGCAGGGGTGTTCAACGCTGGAGCGGATAGTGCCCAAGAGAAGACCGGTTAGCACTCCTCTTTCATTTTGGAAGCACTCATATGGCTTCTCGAAGCACTGCACTGCTTATTGTTCTACTGACCTAAAATACGCAGTATCGTGCATGTTGAAATCGTTGTGACCCGAGTTTTGTTGTTCCACTTGTACCCCCTCACAGCTGCTCCGCTCGTATTGCCGTGCCTGTGCAGAGCTGTGGAGAGAGCGCCTTTCCTACAATTACGTGTGCGACCCTGCGGTCCCTTTCGATCAACAGCCGCAGCAACTACAGCAACAGCAGCAGCAACAGCAGCAACAGCAGCAACAGCAGCAACAGCAGCAACAGCAGCAACAGCAAGAAGAGGGACACCCGCAGCCCCAGCAAGATAGTCTGGAGACAACTGAAACTGCCAACATAGGCCGGCCGATTTCATCGCGGAGTTCTCGCAGGGGTGGAAATAGTTCAGACGTCAGAGACGGAAACCGGTCGGATAGACCGCCCCGTATTCAGCTCCCTCCAGGATCAATAGCTGGATCCAGGGACCCACTCTTACCGACACCCCCAACACCTCGAGAGGGTGACATAAGGCTCTGCTCTGCAAAGGCAAGCATCTGCCGTACGCAGCTCTTGCCCAAACGAGTAGAGGAGGAGACGCCGTCTACGTTGCTACCGCATGTGGGGCCTCAAATGACCGGTAACTATATAATTCCCAATCTGACGGCACGAGCGTCTACTCGTTCATCTCTAGCTGATGTTTGCCCTTTTACTTGCTCCTTTATTTAACTTCTGCTTCGTACTGTTCAATGANTTTCAACCCGATGATGGTAATTTTGATCGTGCAGGATATGATCTATTTTGCCTGGAGATGTGGTCGGTCTTGTCCCTGTGTCGCGATCAAGTGTGCCCTCCCACCCTTGCGCAGTACTTGGCGGCCCTTAGACGACTTTGGGCCGAGACGCTTACACAACAGCAACGGGATATCTACAACAACATTATAACTCCCAAATACATTGCCCGGCGTCTAAAAGCTCCTGACCTTACATTTGAAGCTCTTCCACCGTGGTGGCAACAGCAGCAGCAAACCCAAAGCCGCAGACGGCCTAAGGGTGCAGGTGGTGCCTCGCCTAGTATAGGAGATCCACCTGCTAGCTCTCCAGAAGGTCTTTAGGAGGCATCGTCCTTCTGCTTCTCTTATACATCTATCGCATTAACATACTCCGAGGCGCAATGGCTGTTTATCAATAGGCCGTTGCGTTAGGAGCTTTAAACATCGGACCTGAACATTTTGCTCCCCTACCTCTTAACTTCAGGTGCCACATTTGATGCTTCTGATGGCCTAACACGTAGCTGACGTCGCATATCCGTGTTAGGGAAGCAGCCGTTGTTTTCTGGGAGATGAAGATTAGCCGCAGATATTGCTTCGCCACTAACTTCCATTTTATGGTAGTATCAAGGTAGTATAAGAACAAATGCTCTTACATTGCAAACGTATAGCAAGTAATGTAAATTTTAGGCAAGCATGCAGAAACGTTCTTCAAAGGTAATTTTGCGGACATAATCAGGGAACTAAACGGGAGAAGAGTGAATCGAAGTTCGTTCAAATTTGGTAGTGTCGGGACTGTTCACACTATGAGGGTTGGTTACCAAGCTGTAAAGGTGACGCTGATCGTTTACTTGTAGTGCTCAGCCAGTATGGGCCCTGTCATATTACTTCTCCCGGTACTGCACTCATATGGTAGTAGTATTCAACTGGGAGTGTTTGTATATTCGAACGATGCATAGCCGTAGCTGTCCAGCTATCCAAGGCACGAATACTGCAGATTTCGCGCCTCCCCTAATGGCCCTAAAGGCCACTAAGCGACACCTTATGAAACGCACTTTGTTTTTATTTGCCTAAGAGCGACTACTCTGCGCTTTGGTGGCAGCCTGGCATTACCTTCATTATGCATTAGCTGCGAATGGGCTTCACGAGACCCGCTTTAGTGTGCTCCTTCGCATTATCTACATAGCCATTGGTTATCAGCCCAAGCAAAACTGGAAACATTCCCCATTTCAACAGGACAGAAGCTTTCGGTTCTGTCAGACGCTTAATGCGCCTTGAAAACCAAATCCATTTTGAGCGCACACAGTGCGCATTCAGTATTTGCAATTGCGTGCAATATATAAGGGACGTTTGTTGCAAAACAATCGCCGTCAGAATGCTGTGCAATGCCGCCAGCCACCGCTACTTTTAAACTGGCCATCGCTGCATGCCTTTCCTTTCGAAGACGTTGAATTCGGGTTTCAAGCCAACTAGAAAAGGAACGTGTACGTGTCACTTTTGGGTCAGTTAGTCTTCGATGTCGCCTTCGAAGTTTCCCCGTCGCATATGCTTCTGCGTGTCAAATATGGCGGTAATTTAGTGTATGCTCTCAGCCTCCATGGCCGCTACGCAGGCGCCAAAGTTGTGTGTACTCGAGTGCACCGGCATCAGCGTTGATTTACCCGCATGTGTGCATTTGCTGCTCTCGAGGTGTGATGTCGCCTGTGCAGCAGTGCGGCAAGCTGGTTTTGGGCAGGGACACGATTCCTTCTCAGCAGCATCTTCAGCGCGTAGTGAGTTCTCGTTATCCGCATTATGTTCCGTGTCACCAGAAACCAGCTTAGCTGAAACTTCGGCATCAATTTTTCTTTCTTTTAGTGACTCACGGGATCCATTTAGCCAACCACGTCTAGGGGAAACTGTCTGTTTGTTCTTGACGGTCTTTGTTGTTTCATCAATACCTGAAGTAACATTGTACGTTGTTGCGACCCCGGTGCCCAGCCTAGGTCTATGTGGTAGGGCCTCTCCTTCACGATTCCTTTCCCTTCGGGTTATAGNAAAAGCTGACTGAAGATTGAGATGCTCGGGTCCCGGTGATACGCCATAGGGACGGCATTGCATCGATACCGCCCTGGTGTGCCATGCAGACCTTTCACTACCGGGATATCCCCTGTTTTGTTGCTACAAGCATTGGCATGGATATTTCCTCGCTTCCCGCTGCTGCTGCTTCGAATCACTCTACTGCTGTTACGGGAAACAACGCGTGAGATCCTGCGGCCTCCACTCAAGCTTCGACAGCTTGCAATCAAAGGGTTTGTCATCGGCATACCGTTGCGCTTCCGGGAACCTTCCACATCGGGCAGGAAATCTGATGGCTCGGTTTTCCGTTCTCCAGAGCTACCTTCCCAATTAGGTGAAGCGTTTGTCGTGGTCTGAAGTGTTTGTACAGGAGAGCTCCGAATATTGGGCAGGCTTGGTGCAAGAGTCACCTCCACCCGTGAATATGATCCCTTGTCATCGATGGTTCCCCTTGAAAACATGCCTGGTGAGGGAAACGAGAGCTCTAGCCCAATTGCAAGCTTAGGGCACGTTGGTTCCGATGCAGCTCGTGGTAGCATTGGTCCCCCTAAGTCAGGCTGACCAATTTGTAGCTTTTCAGTAGGATCCGGTTGTGATCTTTGTGGCAGGGCCAGCTGCAGCTGCAACGTATTCCCCCTCTTGTGCGTTAAGTCCTGTGACGGGCGGGTGAATGAGTCATCGGCTTCTTGAAAAGATGCGAGACACCGTTGGAGTTCCTTCGCAATCAACATATTTGACCCTCGTGACCGAAGAAGTACATCGTCTTGGGGAAGCTGCGCAAGTTCTCCATTCACGCGGGGTGTAGGTGATATTCCTGGGATATCTTGCTGTGCCTCTTCCGGCAGCTTTGTGATCAGAAGCTGTTGTTGTAAGCCAGAAGATCCACCAGTTGTGACACCAGCGGAACCTTCACGCTGTGAGGAGCTACCCAACCCTTGTGCTGAGTCGCCTATAGGGGGGACAGAGGTTTGGGAACCGGCAATTAGCTTGTGTGCTCGCTGCTCACATACGCCGACAACGGCTAGAGCTGCTGCAGTTGCTGCTGCTGCAGCCTCCAGAAGGGCGGTAGGCCCTTCTTGACTACAAAGTGCATTTGCCTTTCTGTGACTCAAGCTGCGTTGGCGTATACTCCGCCTAAAACGGTTCTTTTTGAAAGTACGATCGTTGTTGAGGCGGCTGCCCAAGAAGCTCGCCTGGTTCAGGGTTTGTTGAAAATGTGTTTGCTGAAGTTGCAGCGCTTGTTTTAGCTGCTGCTGCTGAATTGTAATCTGCTTGTTAAGCAGCTGCACTTGCTTTCGCCGACTATGTATTCTCCACTTCAACGCTTCCTCCTTCAGCTGCAAGGCACGCGGGAGGTAGCAGCGGCGGAACAACGTCCCCCGGTAATGCGCCGGCTGCACTGTTTCCCTCATCTGATGATTGCAGAGCACTGGAGTGTGGCAGAAGGTGTGCTCATGCCGCATACCCGAACAGTAGCACATTACCCCGCTGCATCGATGGACGCAGGCAACTGAATTCAGAGAATGAGCTTCATCTCTCCTCAACGGCTCTGGGACGCTCGCAACCCCGCTAGCTGGAACCCCTGCGGCAGCTTGCCCATGTGGTATGCTGCCAGAGTTGGCAGCGTTAAGCCCTGAGTCATCAGAAACTTGGCAGTAATTATCTTTCTGCGTATGTTCCTGGCTGATACCTTGAGTATGCACCGGTGCTGGAAAAGCTGGATACGGCCCAACAACGGAAGTGAGAGCAGAAAATTCTTTTTGCGACCCAGATTGGCGTTCCAGAAATGGATTTTCGTCGGCACAGTTTGATGCGCCTCCACCTAAATGCTGTGCATTAACAACTGCTCCCGCCTGGCTTGTACAGCAATGAGTTCGCAAAGTCGTGTCACTGACATGGATGCTCCCAAAGTGTAAAATCCCACCGTCGAGATATCTAGAGCCACTACCCGTTTGGAGAGGTTTCCCATCAGTGTATCCACTCCAGCCGTCCAGATGCGATAGCAGGACAGAGCCAGGAGCAACCCAAAAACAGCTTTGAGAGAGCCCCACGGGCTGTATGACGGGGTGCCCTGAAGGACGACCGTTGGGGCTGAGTGTCGTCTGTCCTCCGCCCCCAGTAAGCAGCATTGCCTGTGGATGGTTAACAATGTGTGGCTTCAGGAAGTGGGGCACAGCGCGAATGCCATTCGAAGCATTTACAGCTTCATCCCTGGTGCTCGCTTGGGTAAAGTGGCCTTGAATTGCCATCTCAAGTCTCAGAGGTACCGTGTGGGGGCCTACACCGGCTTCTGCGCCAGGTTCGCGTAGGAGGGGCGCTGTTGACCCATCCCCTATAAGCCGCGAATCTAGAAGCAACTGTGGAGGAATGTTTGTTCCGCTGGTTTGCCTAAGCTGGGTCTGAGGAATATGGCTGCTGGCGGGAGAGATTGCATCCATCAGCCTTTTTCGTTTTGAGTGCCCTTCGGTCCAGAGTTCTCCTTGGGAAACAGGTAACACATTCGGCTCGTCATGAGGCCTTCCCAGATCAACACGCATCGAAGTGGCACGCACTGCTCCAATCGTAGAATCAATGGACGTTCCAGCGCTCAGCTCCGTTGGGGACCCCAGAGAGTGGATCACGGGCGTCGCTTCCGTGTTGCGGGATGGATATCCCAGTGACAGCCTCCGGCGGCTACCCTGTGGTTGTTCATTAACTGCACCTTCTGTGCTTTGTGTGTCCGCACACTGGGAGCAAGTTGCATTTAGACGAGTTCTCAGCTTTACTTGTCCAGGTTGCCTAAGTGGCACTACTGTCGTCTGCGCGTTTTCTGCACCCCGCGCACTCCATGACAGAGACCTCGAAACCCGCTGAGGAGAGCTCCTAAGCTGGCTGCCATTGGGCTGAACTTGCTGGAGACCGTGTGATCCGGATTCTATACAGGACGCAGCTCGTCTGTTGAGCGTGTGGGGGTTACAAGGAGGCACGCTGACTTCCATGCGGTGGTCTTTGCACGTTGTCCCGCTCTGGGCTGCCCCCTCGTTGCGGTATTTACCGCATGCTTTCGGGGCTGCGCAACGCTCTCCTACGCTGTCTTCAACCAAGCTTTTTGGAGCTAGAAAGCTGTTTAAAGAAATCTTTTGTGGTGAGGAAGTTGGGCGGTAGTTTTCCAATTGCTGCACTGTTGGAGTATGTTCCGCTGCTTCGCGGTACGTCCCAGTAGCTTTATCTTGAGGATTGCGTTTCTCCTCATATACGCCAGTAGTTGAAGCGGTACTTAATCTTCCGAGGCTGATTGTGTTGCAGTTGCTCTCTTTGAAAGCTCCATCCCCTGTCGCCGCTTTCTCAACGACAGCTGTCCCACCATATTCGAAGTTGATTGTGTTGCAGCTGCTATCTTTGAGAGCTCCATCCCCTGTCACCGCTTTCTCAACGACAGCTGTTCCACCATATTTGCCTTGTCTNCTCAACCGCCTTGCTGTTGGCCTGCGATTCAACCTCTTGTGCAGCTGGCTGCTGAAGGACAGGTGTTCTTTGTGAAGCTTTTCATAGTTTCTGTGTGCGCTATTCGTCGTTTGGTTGGCACAACTTTGAAAGCCTCTAATTCTCTCTGCGCAGATACTCCCCTTTGGTTCAGGCCCCATCGTGGATAGTTGCTTGGCAGAGACTCCCTGCTCTGTGCTAGAACTCATTTCAACTTGACAGGCCTGCCCCTGATACCTACTGCGACAGCCACTTGAAAATAATATGAAGGTATTTTCCTGCGTATTGCCTAAACTGTTCTTCACGTGGTCACTCGCGGTAGCCGCGTAACATTTCGACTTTTTGTTGGACGCTGCTTGCTTTGCCTGTCTAATTTGTAGCCGAATATGCTTGACATTTGCAGAGATCTGATTTGCCCCTTCTTCGCTACGAGAAAGGGAAGCAGCAGAAACTGGATCACTTGGAAGATGGTTTTCCGGGGTGTTTCTGGTGACGAGATGTTCCTTAAGTCGCTGGGGGGACCGGCGAGATGCTGATATTCCTCTCCATTGAACTGCGACTGATGCATACAAGTCTTCCGTCAATATTTCGGAAGCTGTCCTAAACGACGTCGGAGCATTTACGGCCGCAGAACAGAGTCCGCGAACATCACTCTGAGTTCGTCGGACAGACTGACAACCAACGGGGGTGCCCGTTTTCCGCCGGCCTGAGGTGGCCAGCAGAGGCGTTTACGGTTCGTTTAGGAAGTGCGGTAAGAGTACCTTGGTACATGGGCTATCGTAGCAGCACGACTGAAGTGTTTGCATCGTTGCGCTATAGAGTAGGGGTCCATTATTGCTAGCGGTATAATCATGTTTATTTTTAAGGTGGCTCTGGCCCTGCTGTTTTCTAGCACGACAGCGGGTAGGCGGATGCCGCCTGCGCTGCTCACCTTCCACGCGGGGCCTCAGGACGGCGTACCTCTGGAAGAATCTACAGACGGTGAGACACTCTTGTGCTGGTTCCACTGAACAAGCGTAGTCTCTCGTCTAAGGGGGATATCCCTTGAAACTCGAGATATATTGAGAACAGGGCCCGTCACCGTCTTAGAGCGCAGGATTCGCATTTCTGGATTGGCTGTCGCAGGGCTAGATTGTCCAGCATCTTTCTGTTTTTCCATATCTTGCCCACGAGTGCCATGTGCTGCTACTGCATTACCCGCCACGTCGAGGTGTTTCTCAGCTCCCTCGAGGAGCTCCTCTTGACTAAATATGGAGAGCGTCCTCTCAGGTGCAGCTTCCATACTTTGCGCGACGTTGTCACGCATCCACTTCATATGATTAGTCTGCTGGACTTCACTGAGCTGTTTTTCTGGTCTAACTTGCAAGCCCGCTGCGGCCTCATCGTGGGTTGATTCGTTGGACGGTGCAGAACGACGAGCCACTGGCGTACTGCTTAGATGCAACTGTTTGTTAGGACCACTGACACCAGATGGTCCATCTTCTTCAGTGTGACAATGGCCATTCAGGCCAGAGGGCGTTTTTTTCTGGAGTGCAGACTGCGGAGAAAGTTCTTCTGGATGCTCCGCAGCAGCTCCCACGAGGTTCCCGCAGATAGAGGCTGTCGAAAAATGATCCGGTAATCCTTTTCCATGCACATGTTGGGCGTGCTGAGGACGAGCCTTGAGTTGGGTAGGAAGACGAAGCCCTACATGAGCATTATGGCTGACATGACCAGGTGACGTTCTTGCCCCCTTCACAGAACCCAACTCCTCAGTGCGCGAATGACCTTCCACTACTTCCAATGCCGGCATTTTGTGCCCACTACAATGAGGCCCGCGGCATGTAGGAGATTCAGGACGTTCCAATGCCTGCCGAAAAACCCAACGCCCATGCACAACAGGGACTGCAACAAATCTCGAGAGAAGCCCTGCAGAGGCCTGCATGCATGCAGTGAGTCAGTGAGTGTTGGCTATATTTGCTCTGCACGCATCTGGAGTGTAGATTTAGCTTTCCTGTAAGTTCATCAAACGCAGAAGTGTTTTTGTTAGTGACAAGCCGTTTGATTGGTCCGACATTGCATTTACCACCGTGACCTCTCCTGACTTAATACGTTTCAGAAGGGTTGAGCTGTACCGGAGAAGTAGCAGTTTGTGGAGAAAGATCTTTCAGCCGTGGTCTTGTGTCCGCTTTGGTAGAATTAAACAAATTAGCGAAAGCTAATGTTGAGTGGGTTCCAGCATGTCTTCCATCCAGGTCCTGTCGGCTATCATCAGCGCAGCGCGATGGGAGCTGCCTTGGAGTATTGTGCTGCGTCTGATGGTAGGCAAGAAACCTCTGCGGTTCCTCTGTCTGAGCAGTGTCTCCTGATGCTGGGAAAAGCCTAGGGTGGGAAGGGGGGGAACTGGTTCGTGAAGACGCCGCCTTTTTGCTTGGGGAGGCGTTTCGGCTCCGTGGTGCGGAAGCAAGGAGAGATAGTTCAGGTATAGGGGACCTTTCAAGCACCTCTCCAGTCTCGCTGGAGCGTTCAATAACAGAAGTGGGTATCAGCTCGCCAGGAGAAGCTTCGGCAATGCTATAATGAACTAGTTGGCCTGTGCCGGGGGCTCTTGCAGAGGGCACTGGAGATCTTTGAGCGCTGCATGGGTTCCCTTGCTGCTTACAGCAAAACGGTGGGCGGTCTCCGCCATACGTTGTACCCATGGTTCGCAACTGCCGCATGCAGCAGTAGTTACCAGAAATAGCATTTAGCAATACGGGCTGTGGCATCCACATCAAGAGGGAACGCCATCGCCAGTGCGGACACGCATCGTTTGTGGCAAGCTCATTCGTTAGGGCACCACTGGCGCCCCCGTACGCTTTCATTGTAAGCAGGTGCGATGTTGACGTTGTTCTACCCAGGTATGCCACTACGGATTACCGACGAGCTCCTACCCTGAAAACACCTTCTCCACGCGGCTGCTCTTCGTCTCCCCTCCTACATAATAAAGGGTAGTTGAAGTTTACTCTAGCAAAACTCACTAATGCTCGAACGTATCCCTGCACCAGAAGCACTCGCATTGCCAGCATGTATGGAAATTCCGAAAATGTGTAACTGGCTGGACTTCCTCTTCCCTAGAATAGAAGAGAGAAATACCATACGAGTAGAGAACCGCTGCAGCCCAGTGTCGCTATTGGCTTTGGGTTTGCTCTCCTGCCTTGGCCTCGCTGTACTGCACGGGCCCCGAGAGGTCAGGAAAACTGAGTGGGGCTGGAAGATCCCCGTCACGAGCGCTGGCTTCCAATAGCTTTGTTGTGTGTGTTTGAAAAAAATATCTTTAAGAACAGTGACCCTTGATTACTACGTACCATGACAACCCGGGGTGACCTGGTGGGTGCCCCGGATGAGGTTTGCGCGCGCCTACGCTTGCTGTCCAATCGGCGAAATTCCGGCAATTATTTGGATTCCCAGCTTTTGGCGAATTTTCTTTGTGAAGAAGTTCACGGGAAAGATCTACTAGGGACGAGCCCGGCGATTCTGATCATAGCTGCCAAACGCCCGTGCAGCTGCATTTGAAGTGCCAACGTGTGCAAGGCATGCTCACCTGAATTTGTCACCTGAATCTGCATACGCAGAGATGCGTTTTCTGTGCTACTTCAATTTCTGCGCTTTCTAAAGAATAAAGTAGGAGAGTAGTTGCCATGGCAGGCCCAGTTGCACCTCACACAACGCCCGTAGGACTGCCGTGCAGCGGTTCTGCGTTTCTCAATGGTAGCAGCGCAGTACGTTCCTGCGAAAATTATTCAGCTGCAGAGAATCCTGACGTTGAGAAAGCTGTCGAATTGCTGCATGAGGCTACACGCGTCGTATCCAATCTTGGTAAGAGCTGTCGAGCTCCTCTTCGCAACGGTTCTCTAGACACAGTAGTCGTGTACGACCACTTAGAGGAGGTACAGCAAAAGGCACATCAACATTTTCTGTATCTTAGAAGGCTACTCTCTTCTTGTGGATTCGAATCAGGTACTTGCGTGGATGCCAATGGTGTTTACCTCGTTGAGGCTTGGAATGCGACCAAACAACAGAGTGACGCAGGCACGAACGCAAGCCGCCAACAACTAGAATCAACAGCATGGGAAGAGCTTCAAAAACTTGCGGAGGCCAACTTGCGTGAGATAGTGAAGAGGGTTACTGAAACCGAAGCTGAAGTGAGAAGTCTGAAGAACAAAATCTTGTTGAACAGTCAAGCAATCGACCAACTCGTTGCTTACCGCTTGCTGGGGTAGAGAGAGCACCGCACTCAACGTGAGAACTAGCATGTGCTGGGTCTTTGCGAACGCTACAAATGTTCAGCATCTTCCAAGGGGTGTATTTCAGCCCCAAAGCGCCTGTTGACACAGAACGCTGCAAAGGTCAATGAAGACGCGCCCAGTTTTCTCTCTCTTGATTCCATCACGGGACATTCAAAAGAACAGTCCAGAAATGTAAAAAATAGTGACACTTCATACCTTTGTTTCCGTGCTGCATTCAATCTCTGGGCCGAAGGAGTCCTTCCGATTTTGAACTTCTATCGGAAGGGTTCTATGGACACCGTAAACCAGCTGAGCCCCTAGGCGTTGTGCCACACATTCCAGTACCCACGGCCTGCAATACTAGCGCATGTTCTGCTGAATACCAGCTGATTTAGTATTGCTGTTGCCAAAAGTATGATTATCTTAGCTGTCCTCACGCAGAACCCCTATCCTTGTTGGTAAGCTGCCAATCATTCACGGGCCTAAAGACTTCCACTGACCTCAACCTTTACGTGAGGAGAAGCGCTTGTACGTGCTAACGCGGAGATGAAGTAACACTTGTAAGGCATGTGATTATATTACTGTCAACCATACGGGCAGATGGCGTGAGTTAAAAAGCAAAAGTAAAGTGTAAACAAACTAAGGACTCCACCGAGCGAGTGGCTATCGCTACACGGCCCTAGTTGGAGAACGCTCCTTACAGATAAAGCTTCTGAAGAATGAAATGTAAACTAATTGTTGCTGCTGCTTTTACGACCGGCCATTGAAAAATGAAAGTTCAGGCTATCCGTGTCCAGATATTACTAAAACCAATGTTGCTGGAAAGCAACCGACAGTCGAACACGAACTCTCCTAAGGCCTCTTTGATAGAGCAGTTCCTCCAAGTGGCGTTTCTTAAGGATTTAAACCGGCCAGATGAACAAGCAGAGTGGAGAGTCTTCAAACACGTACCACCGAATTACGACAGAGCAACCCAGATATAGAAGCCCCCTTCTCCCCCAAATTGCGAATCACTTTTCCTGATGCAAAGTTGCACACAACAGAGGGAGCGAACAGACGGACCAAGATCAACCGGAGCCCAAACACACGAAATAAAGTGGGAGAATGAGGGAACCGCAAGAGCGAACATTGCATCTGCTGATGATCTTTCTATTGTCGCAGTTGCTGAAACCATGCGGTAGCACTTTGGGCAGAAAATGCCGTACGTCTCGATTAACAGGGCCGCTTTTGTACGGGCACCCGAAACCAACAAAAAGTGTGTAGTATCCCTGCACCGCCGCATGGTGTCAAACTGTGAACGTGACGCGGAAGTTGTTCCACGACAAAACTGAGGCCTTCGCCTAAAATATACTAGACAGGACACCGAACCAGACATAGTTAGCAGGGAAATTGACCTGAACGGGACGATGATCAAGGTAGGATGGCACGTAGGTAGAAAGGCATGAGTCCGGCGATTTACGCCACAGAGCCCTTCGACGCAGCGGAGTATGCAAGGCGCCACTTTGTGCTGCAATAGGCGTTACTATGCTTGCACTCCCACGAGTGGTAAGGGCACGTAGATACTGCTGATGAACCGCTTCGTACAACCAATCCTCCAAAGCGCACTGGCATTCTTGGTTTCCCTGCAAGTACGCATACTATTCCCAGTTCATATCTCCTCCTTGCATGGTTCCACCTGTGCCAACATTGCAATATCCTGGAGTTTCTTCTGCAATGTCGCGAGCCCTTCTTCACAGTTGTATTGCTGCCAGTTTATCCGGTGAATTCAAGGAAACGTCGGGGATTCTGTCAGTTGTATCATGGCGTCTCTCTGTTCGAATTAATCCCGAAGGTGCAGCGGAGCTGGATGGTTAGCTGCAGACATCGTAGGCTAGGAACTGCAGGGTTTAGCCGCATCCTTTCACCAGGTTGCCTGGATAAATGTAACAGCCGGTCGTCATTGTTACTAGCACCGTTGATGTGCTCCACCGCGTGTGGGAAAGGCTGAAGCTCCTAGGCTACGGCCTTGGTAGTCAACCATCCAACTCCAGTAGGATTAGGCAACGGTATTCAGGTGTAGACAAGTGAAGCTGTGGACCACCCGGGTCAGTGAGTACGCTGCCGTACTACTACGGCACTCAGTATATTGAAGAAACCATACCTGCTTTCATGAATATCGCGAAAGCGACAAGCGCACGTACTGTATCTGCTTTGCTCTTATTTTATTCCGGTTATATCTGAAAGAAGGTCGGCCAACAAGGCATACAAATCTGAAAGTTTAGTGAGTAGTGTCCNCCTAAACGGGACAGTCTTATTCAGGCAGGATTTTAATGCCCTTGTCCTATATGTGAGGTGCACATGGTCAGACGAGGCGGGAATCCAGGGCTGCTGGGGATGTAACCAACCCAACAAAAGCGTTCCCACTTCCACCTAGCATTGCTTTATAGATTCCGGCTGGCCATCTTTTCGCAGGTCCTGCAGAAGCGAACGCATCGCTTCATGCCCATGGCGCATGTTCTCTTCTCTATTCCTGAGCAAAAGAGTACCAATGAAATAAGTTTTTTTT